CACCCACCCATTCATCTATCCATCTAACCATCCCTCCTTCTCTCCCTCCCTCCCCCCTCCATTCATCCACTCATTCACCCAGCCAACCACCCATTCATCCATCCATCCACTCATTTACCCACTCATTTATTGATCCATCCATCCATCCCATCCATCTACCTACTGACCCATTCATTCCCCCTTCCTGCCTCCCAACCATCCATCCATCCACCCACCCACCCACCCGCCCAAAAAGTTATTGAGTACATCTGCTGTGAGGGTGACCATGGGCAACCCACATGGGCTGCTGCCCTTGAGGCAATCGGAGGAGGACAGCCAGAAAGGGTCACACAGTGTGGTCAGGGTGGTGAGGACAGTGTTCAGTATGAGGATGTGACACCTGGACCAAGTCTTGAGGGGCAAGTGCCCCAAGGTGTCTGAACTCCTGAAGCACAGCTATCCACCTGATTGCCCTGGCCCTGGGCTGCCCTTTCCTCAATGGAGCCTGCCCAGTGCCTGCCTGCCCATCGGAGGCCTGGCCTGGTTGAGGCCTCTCTCGATCCCTCACCTGAGAACAAACGCCTCTGTATGCTCACTTGCTCACCCTCCACCCCTCACACAGAAGTGGCACCTATATCCCGCCTTTCACCCCTGCAGTCCTTGGGAGGTGACATGCACACCTCCAGGTGTCTCAGAACCTTTGGAGGCCCAGAAAGTGGCCGTGCTTGGGGGTCTGAGTCTGCCCTGTCTTTCAAGGCCCTGCACTGATTGTGTCAGGTCCCCCTGCCTCGTCAGGGTCACATTTGAGATATCCCTTCACAGCAGCATCCAGCCCAGTGCCATACCAAAGACTGGAGCCACAGCCAGACAGGCCGACTCACACAGCCACCGTTTGAGGGACTGGGACAGGTGCAGGGGACGCACCTGCTGTCTTCGGCTCCCCCAGCAGCATAGGGTTCTCTCTTCTCGCCTCCCTCCCCAGCCTCCTCTTCCTCTTCCCCTTCCTCCTCCTCCTTTCCCTTCTCCCTCTTCCTCCGGTGGCCCCTTCTCCCTCTTCCTCCAGTGGCTCTGACCCCTGCATGGCTACCCCTCACTGGGCTTCCTGGTGACTCAGGTTTGTGGACACATAGCAGGAGGGCTGTCACTTCAGGTGCCGTGTGACGTCTGTGCTGCCTCCTCCCTACAGTCACTACTGCAAATTCCGTGCAGCCCTTGGCAACAGTGTCTTGTCAGGGTAAACACAGCGGGCGTGGGCAGACTGGGGAGAGGCTTTGGGGACCAGGATGCTGTCTGTGTGGGAGGCTGTACTCCATGCGGCCTCTGGCTCTGAGTCCCAGCCGGAGCCTGAGGCTGGGAGCTGACACGGGGCTGGGGCTGTCGGCTCCTGGCTGGACCGTGTCTGGCCCTCCGTTTGGTGGGTGGTCATTCCCACCACTGCCGTCACGTCCTTGTCACAGAAAGCAGAATCGACAAGCATTTTCCTTGGAGTGGTCAAAGCCCCTACTCTCTCCCTCCACTGGGGCCCCTCGAACCCCATGGGAAAGCCACAGGGTGGCGATGGGGTCCCAGGGCAGTACGGCTGCCCATTCTCCCACTCTGCACTTGCTGGAGGCCGACATTTCAGTAACCAGCAATGGGGGCAACATTTGGACCCATACAGGACATGGGAAGAGAGTGACTGCAGAGCTGCTGACCTGCCCGGTCCCTATCACCTCCACAACCCCGGTAGATGCTGCGAATCTGGCAGTGGGGACCGGCTGAGACTTGGAGGCAAAGAGGTCGGGGACACTCTCGCTTTGGGGGTGCCGGTGACTCCACAGTCACCCCGGCCTGATGGAGCCCTCACCGTCTTCCCCAGAACAGCTCCCTTTCACCAGTAGGAATGGGGTTCAGCTCTCTGCACCCTGCCCCTTGCAGGGCTGCCTGTGAGCTCAGACAGGGCTCCTCCCTGGGACCTTGTCACGGGCCAAGACGGGTGTTAGGGTCAGACCCCCGAGCCTGGGCACCACCACTGCCTGCCCAGAGGGGACACAGGGTCAGATCCAGGGGAACCACCTCAGGCTTCAGGGCCGGAAGGGCTGTGCTGGGCAGCTTGTGCTCGGCTAGGATTCCTGCAATCCCCCCAGGGCAGGGGGAGCCTGGCCTGGAAAATCTCTGCCCTGAAGCCCCCCTGGAGCATGTCAGGGTCGGGGGTCTGCAGTTGGGGCTGTCCTTGGGTTTCCCCAGGGCTCCGTGCCAGTGGGTGGAGGCCTACACCGGGAAGTGAACAATGGTCCCCTCTGGCCTGGCCCAGCTGGGTCCGGTTTCCTAATCCCTGGTCCTCCTGGCCCGGGCCACACACTCAGCTTCCTCCACGTGCCCAGGTCCTAGCAGGGAGTGCAGACCCTGGGGCCTGGTGCTGGCAGGCACCACAGGAGGGCAGGAGGGGTTTCATCCCAGGCTCCAGGTCCGGGCAACAGGTCAACCAGGGAAAGAAGCTTGGTGCCTTGGTCCCCGAGTCTCCAAACTGTCAGGGTGAGTCCCCTCCCCACTGCCATCATGCTGCTGGCATGTCCCCATCCCCTTGGGCCAAAGCTGGGAACTCAACTCAGGGCCCATCTCTATTTTCAGAAGGAGAAAATTGTAGAGAGAGGGGAGGGCCCCCAGACCTCAGTTTACCCACTGGCGACACAAGGGAGCCCGCCTGTGCCCTCCCGGGCTGGGGCAAGCAGTGGTGGGCCCAGTGGTCTCGTGGCTTGGGGTCGGTATGAGTTCTGGTTCTCCAGGCTTTTCCAGACAACTGCTGGGCTTGGTGGGCGAGACCGAGGCTCATCAGAGGCCCAGCCTCAGGGGCAGGACCCTCACCCTGAGTGAGAGGTGGTTCGGGGGAGCCTGGGCAGGCTATCACCTCCTCAGCTCTCAGGCCCGAGGTCCTCATGTGGTCCCCGGGAGAAGGGGCAGACGGCCACTTCCGGCCACCAGCCAGCTCCCTGTGTGCCTCATTCTGTAACACGTCCCCTGGCTGGGCAGGTGCTCCCCGAGTTCTAATCACATGTAATTCCAGAGAAGGAATTTCCCAGCCTGAGAAAAGGATGGGCTTAGAGGCTGGTTGGGGGCTGGGGCCTCTGACACTGCTCCGTGAGCCTGGCCAAGAGTCCCATGCAAGTCAGTGGCCTCCCTGCACCCCGAAGGATCCCACATCCTCTCTGACTTCGGGGAGGCCCCTTTCTGGAGTCAGGCCTGGAAACTGCTCCAGAGCTTGGGCCCCGGAAACGGGTTGGTCCTCCCAGGGTAACATGAGCCTGATCAGGCCTGGGGACCTGCTCAGCGGGGGCCTGGGGGCCCGTGGGGGGCTACGGAGCCTGACTGGACATGCTTCTGCCAGGACGCCACTCCCCCGGCCACCCTGTCCCGCTAGTAGCTGGACGTGTTCCCTGGGTGTGTGCTGGCACTCAGGCCACAGGGCTGCCTCATCCTGAAGAAGGCTGTGTTTACCCAGGGAGCCATAAAGAGATGACCTCTGATAACCTGAATCAATATTTCCCCACTGGGGCTCGGGCCCCTGCAGCTGTCTTCTTGATCATCTAGCAAATGCCACACCCACTCCTTGACCCTCCCCTGCCTTCCTGCCCCTGTGCCAGGACATATAAGGACCAGACCCCTGCCCCCGGGCGCAACCCACACTGCCCTGCCAGCCACCATGGGGCTGCCGCTAGCCCCTCTGGCGGCTGTCTGCCTGGCCCTGTCTGTGGCAGGGGGCTTGGAGCTCCAGACAGGTGAGAGAGCAGACACAGGGGCCTGGGGCCTGGCAGAGTGTCCTGGGGGCAGGGCCAGGCGGGCAGGCGAGTGGCATCTGGGAGGAGAAGGTGGTCCCCGTGTGCATCCTAGCAGCATGGGTGGCTCCGCTGAGGCTCCTGGCCTGGGTTGGTCCCCTGCAGTCCCCGGCCCTGCTGACTTTTAAGGGGCTGGAAGGATGGGGTTCCCCTGCCATTCCTCTGGGGTTGACTGCCCGATGACAGTGTGGGTCTTGGGGCCAGCACCAGGTGGAAACAGCAGCCCAGGCCCCACTGAACTGCGTCACTGTCCATAGGGGAGGAAGAGGCGGCCAGGACCCCACCAGAAAGCCCCATTCTCAGGTGGCAGAGACCATTGAAGAGTTGGGGTAGCACAGCCCTTGCTGGGGAGCGGGGTGCCCAGAACCTCCTCTCCTACACCCCGCTGGGCACCCAGCCACACTCCTTACCAGGCCAGGAGTAGAAGCCCTGAGACCACTGTGGTGGGGTGACCAAAGACCAGCAGAGGGCCCGCGGATAGGAAGCTTTCCCGGCCAGGGGCCCTGCACTGGGCTGGAAGCTGCTTCCAGGCGCTTCCGCAGGGCCCTCCTCTTGAGGATAGCCTGGGCAGCCTTCCCCCACCGGGGCCACTCACCCCTCATTCACTGCTGTTCCCTCAGAGGGCAGAACCCGAAACCATGGCCACAATGTCTGCAGCACCTGGGGCGACTTCCACTACAAGACCTTTGACGGGGACATCTTCCGCTTCCCCGGCCTCTGCGACTACAACTTCGCCTCCGATTGCCGAGGCTCCTACAAGGAATTTGCCGTGCACCTAAAGCGGGGCCCGGACCAGGCTGAGGACCCCGCCGGGGTCGAGTCCATCCTGTTGACCATCAAGGATGACACCATCTACCTCACCCGCCATCTGGCTGTGCTGAACGGGGCCATGTGAGTGTGGTCGGTGGCACCCCTTCCACATCCTAGCAAAGGGGGCTGACGGTTCCCAAAGGGGTCTTCCTTGTAGCCCTAGGAGACCCCTCCTGCCCTGGCACACAGCTCAGGAGAACAGCCTTGAGGTTTGGGTTCAGGTCACTAATTCATTCAACAAACACTGATGAGCCCCCACCATTCCTCCCATAGCCAAGGGGTTTCAGTTACCCCTTTGCCTGTGTCCCTGATGGCCCCTCCCCTCGGAGCCCACCAGGCTCGGGACAGCCTTGGCACCCCTGGAGGCTGCCTGTTTCTGGTCCTGTGCCTGGATTGGCCGTGTGCGCCCACCCCAGGCTAGAGTTACAGAAGTTGGTGCAGGGGGGCTGTGGGAGCCCCTTCTCCACTCCCAGCTATTGTTCCCCTATTGTCTCCAGAACAATGAGGCCCTGTAAGTGCATTCCTGTCTAGCGGGTTCCCCACCTGCAGGACCTGCCCCTCTTTTGCCTGGGGATCCCGTTTCCTGCAAGGGGCTCCAGCACAGGCACGGGCAGGCGGGTGGGTAGAGGCCCTCAGGGGTGGGCACGGGTGGATGGGTAGAGGCCCTCAGGGGTGGGCACGGGTGGATGGGTAGAGGCCCTCAGGGGTGGGCACGGGTGGGTGGGTAGAGGCCCTTGGGGACCGAGGCACAGAGGCTGGGGTGAGTGCCTCTATCTGGCCCAGCAAGGGGCATTGGCAGGAGGTGGTGTAGGGCCCCTGATAGCCTCAGGGGCAGTCTGGTGGGGGTTTGGGGCCCCATGGGGTGATGTTCCACCAAGCAGGGGGCCTGGAAGGAGGCTGGGCAGCCTGGCCCTCCCTCTTCTCCCAACCTGGTGCCCTCAGGGCCTCTGAGAGGGGACCCTGCCCAGGACCGTGCCCCGAGGAGGGAATGGAGAGAAGGGCGTGCAGGCAGGAGGTGGCTCTGCTGGGGAAGCCTGGCCAGCGGAGACGGATAGGTGCTTTTTGGCCACCGCCCACGTCCCTCCACCCCAGAGGCTGGCCAAGTTGGTGACCCCAGGGCAGGAGCTGGGCCTGGCAGAGCCACCTCCACCACCCCAGGTGCCCTTTGGGTGGCGGGGTACCGGGAGGACAAGCTGGGGCGCGGGTGCCTGGGTGGTGGACCCAAGAGTGACCCCGACGTGCCCCCGCCAGGGTCAGCACCCCACACTACAGCCCCGGGCTGCTCATCGAGAAGAGCGACGCCTACACCAAAGTCTACTCCCGCGCCGGCCTCACCCTCCTGTGGAACCGGGAGGACGCCCTCATGGTGCTCAGGGTTCCCGGGCTCCTGGGGCTGGTCAGGCCTCTGGGTGGACCCCAAGGGAGGGCAGGGAGGGCAGTGCTCGGACCCCTCACCGAGAGGGCAGGGGTGGGGCAGGGCCTTGGCAGCACGGGGCATCAGTGCTGGACTTGGGGGGCAGCAGCAGAAGCCGGCCTGGCCCTGACCCCCCAGGCCTCACCCTCCCCCCAAACACACCCAGCTTCTCAGGGACCTGCCCTGCCAGGCCGCTCCCTGGCTGCTGACCCCAGCCTTCCTGCCCCACCTTTCTGTGGCTCAAACAAGCCTCGAGTCTTGGGGTTCCGGGCGGCTGCCCTGGAGGCTGTGGGCGGGGCGAGAGGTCAGCTCACCTGCTCCCTCCCCCAACAGCTGGAGCTGGACAGTAAGTTCCGGAACCACACCTGTGGCCTCTGCGGGGACTACAACGGCCTACAGAGCTATTCAGAATTCCTCTCTGACGGTGAGGCCCGGAGGGCTTGGTGGGGGCAGGGTGGGCTACGGGCCCCCAGGTGCCCCAGCTGAAGGACCGTGCGTCCCCAGGTGTGTTCTTCAGTCCCCTGGAGTTCGGGAACATGCAGAAGATCAATGAGCCCGATGTGGTGTGCGAGGACCCCGAGGAGACGGTGGCCCTCGCATCCTGCTCCGAGCACGTGAGTCCCCTCATTCTGGGGTGTTGGTCCTGGCGGAGCTGGCCTCTGAGCAGCATGCCCACCCTGCGTCTGTCCCCAGCGCGCCGAGTGTGAGAGGCTGCTGACCGCCGAGGCCTTCGCGGACTGCCAGGACCTGGTGCCGCTGGAGCCGTATCTGCGCGCCTGCCAGCAGGACCGCTGCCGGTGCCCGGGCGGTGACACCTGCATCTGCAGCACTGTGGCCGAGTTCTCCCGCCAGTGCTCCCACGCCGGCGGCCGGCCCGGGAACTGGAGGACTGCCACGTTCTGCCGTAAGCCCCAGCACCCGGCAGGCAGGGGACCCCACGCTGGTGCTTTCCCCAAGCCCGGTTGGGAGTTGTGTCCGCGCCGGGCACCGGGGGCCAGGGGGACGCTCACTGCGGGCTGAGAGCCCTTCTCGGTGCACTTCGGCGTGGAGCGGCTGCTGTGCCCCAGCCTCACCCTCACCGTGTGGCCTCTGTGGTTCCAGCCAAGACCTGCCCTGGGAACCTGGTGTACCTGGAGAGTGGCTCGCCCTGCATGGACACCTGCTCACACCTGGAGGTGAGCAGCCTGTGCGAGGAGCACCGCATGGACGGCTGTTTCTGCCCGGAAGGTATGTGTGGAGGAGGGCCCTGCCCTGGCACTGCCCGCTGGACGAGAGGCCTGCAGCTCTGGCCTCGGGTTCTCGCCTGCGCCGAGGGGACGGCTCCGCTAGGTGGTGGGGGCAGTGGCAGCACAGAAGTGCTTCTCCCTCCACCCGATACCAGGGGCAGGTCCGGGGAGAAGGGGCCTCGGTGTGAGGCCCTTCCCAAAGGGTGGCTTCAGGGAGGCTGAGAAGGGGGCTACCTTCCTGGTCATCACCCTGGGGATAGACCTCCCCCTGCCTGGCCCTGACCCGGAGCCTGGAGGCCTTCGGGAGGAGCTCGATTGTCAGGGGCAGGAAGGTGGCCTGGAGGCTGGGCCCCCATGGCCAGACCCTAACCCAAGGACCAGGTGGGGACCACAGGCGTCGGCGCAGGGGACCAGTGGTGGCTTCGGGTGGGAGGCCTGGCTGGCAGGGTGACGTCGCCTCCCTGGTTGTCCCAGGCACCGTGTATGACGACATCGGGGGCAGCGGCTGCATTCCCGTGAGCCAGTGCCACTGCAGGCTGCACGGACACCTGTACACACCGGGCCAGGAGATCACCAATGGCTGCGAGCAGTGGTGAGTCCTGGGGCCAGGGCTGAGTGCAGCAGAGGCTGGGGCAGCTGAGCCCTGACCCTGTGCCCCGCTGCCCAACAGTGTCTGTAACGCTGGCCGCTGGGTGTGCAAAGACCTGCCCTGCCCTGGCACCTGCGCCCTGGAAGGCGGCTCCCACATCACCACCTTCGATGGGAAGACGTACACCTTCCATGGGGACTGCTACTACGTCCTGGCCAAGGTAGGCTGCCCAGGGTCAGGGGTATGGGGCAGAGCTGGGGCTGGCATCCAGGCCCTTGGCCGTCCAGGGGTGGGTGGGCTGGCTGTCCCTGAAGCAGAGGGTGCCCGTGGGCTGTCCTGGGATAGGTGACTGTGCTGCTCTCTGGCTGGAGGATAAGAAGCGGGCCTTCCTTTCTAAGCCACTGCCGGGTCCTAGGGTGCAGGGTGCTGCCCATCCCGGCCCTCAACTGCTGCTCTGCCTCTTGCCCCATCACAGGGTGACCACAACGATTCCTACGCTCTCCTGGGCGAGCTGGCCCCCTGTGGCTCCACGGACAAGCAGACCTGCCTGAAGACGGTGGTGCTGCTGGCTGACAAGAAGAAGAATGTGAGTGGTGCTGCCCCCTCCTTCTGGAGCCCAAGTCCCCCAACGGGGGCCCTTCTCAGCCCTGAGCAACCTCGGCCTTTCCCGCAGGTGGTCGTCTTCAAGTCTGATGGCAGCGTGCTGCTCAACGAGCTGCAGGTGAACCTGCCCCACGTGACCGGTGAGTTGTGCCCCAGGGAGGGGCCCAGGCCCTTCAAGCTCCGCTGGGCCTGCAGTGATTCCGACAGGCCAGCCGTCTCAGACCCGGGAGGCTGGGTGGAAAGGTTCCATGGGAGGAGGGTCCCTGCAGCACCCGGCAGGCTCTCTCCTGGGTCCTCTGCTGGAGGGGGCGGTGGGAGGGTGACATCCTCCTACTGCTCACCTGGGCCAGGCAGGCCCTGGGAGCCCCGCCCCTCGCTGTGCCCCTTACCGTGTCCCTCATCGTGCCCCTCTGCCTGCAGCGAGCTTCTCCGTCTTCCGCCCGTCTTCCTACCACATCATCGTGAGCACGGCCAGCGGCCTCCGGCTGCAGGTGCAGCTGGCCCCAGTCATGCAACTCTTCCTGACGCTGGACCAGGCCTCCCAGGGGCAGGTGCAGGGTAAGTGGCCCCACCGGGATTGCCCCAACAAAGGCCCACAGGGGGGCCTGCTAGCCCCAGACCCTTCCCAACCCTGTCCTGGCCCCTCAGGCCTCTGTGGGAACTTCAACGGCCTGGAAGGTGATGACTTCAAGACGGCCAGTGGGCTGGTGGAGGCCACGGGGGCCGGCTTTGCCAACACCTGGAAGGCACAGTCAAGCTGCCATGACAAGCTAGACTGGCTGGACGATCCCTGCTCCCTGAACATCGAGAGTGGTGAGGCTCGGCAACACGGGCGCCCCCACCCAGCCTGCCTGGGGAACCCGGCCCATGGCCTGGAAGGGCAGATGGGGCTCCCAGCAGGACACGTGGGTGGTGAGGGGCAGAAGTTAGGTGGCTCTCCTCCAGGGGCAGCCCAGCACCAGCTGCTTCCTGCTGTGGCTAGTTTATGGCGGCCATGGTGGCAGCCTGCCAGGTGACCCGGAAGAGGGCCTGGGCTGGTCCCTACCTGCCCCATCACATCCGGGATGCTGGGCCCTTGGGGGTGAGAGACGGGAGGTGGTGGGTGCCCTGCCCGGGTCTCTATCCAGCCTGGAGCTGCCTGGAAATTTGACTCAGGGGGAGGAAGGGGCCTGGGCATGGGTGCACAGAAGGAACCATATCTGGGGCCAAGGCAGCCGGGCAGCAGGGCCCAGGGGATCTCATGGGGGTCCCAGGCCCCGCTGAAGTTCTGATCCCCCACTCCCCAGCCAACTACGCCGAGCACTGGTGCTCCCTCCTGAAGAAGACAGAGACCCCCTTTGGCAGGTGCCACTCGGTCGTGGACCCCGCTGAGTATTACAAGGTGGGTGGGACCCACACCCCCAGGCCCCCGTGCCATCGAGGTGGACTCAGGGCACTCCCAGGCCCCCATGCCACCTGTGAGGTGGACTCAGGGCACCCGGCCGGGCCCACTGGTTGCTGTGTGTGTGTGTGAGCTTGCGTCTGTGAGCGCCGGGCCATGCTCGGCCTCACTGCCTCACTGCCCGCCCACCTTGTTCTGTCGCCCAGAGGTGCAAATATGACACGTGCAACTGCCAGAACAACGAGGACTGCCTGTGCGCCGCCCTGTCCTCCTACGCGCGCGCCTGTGCTGCCAAGGGGGTCATGCTGTGGGGCTGGCGGGACCGTGTCTGCAGTGAGTGCCGTCCCTGTCGGCTGCCTCCTGGGGATGGGGTCCAGGCTTTGAGCTCCTGGGACGGGGCTGGGGGCCCTGAGCATGGGTGGTCCAGGGAGAGGAGTCGTCCCCCTGCAGCCACGGACCAGGCTCCAGCTTCATCGGCCAGTGGTAGCGGGAAACCAGCTCCTCCTACAGCAAGGGGCGGTCACATAGCAGGGGTGGAACCTGGGGCCGGCCTGGAGCTGTGGCGGCCGAGTGTGGAAGTGGGTCCCAGAGTGTGCACTCCCTGGTCCCCTGGCCGCCCTGGGGATGGGAGCTGGGCGTCTGGCTCCTCCCGCCCCTCACGCCACCCCATGGTCCTCTGCAGACAAGGATGTGGGCTCCTGCCCCAACTCGCAGGTCTTCCTGTACAACCTGACCACCTGCCAGCAGACCTGCCGCTCCCTCTCTGAGGCCAACAGCCACTGTCTTGAGGGCTTTGCGCCTGTGGACGGCTGCGGCTGCCCTGACCACACCTTCCTGGACGAGAAGGGCCGCTGCGTGCCCCTGGCCAAGTGCTCTTGCTACTACCGCGGCCTCTACCTGGAGGCAGGGGATGTGGTCGTCAGGCAGGAAGAACGATGGTGGGTACCTGCTCGGGTGTCAGGTGTGGCGTGGGGGTGGGGGAGCTCCTTCTGAACCTGCCCCAAGCGGAGACCTGGGAGACTCTACCTGGGGAAGCTGAGACACCCAAGACTGAGGGGTGCCTGGGGTGGGGGGCGCTGACAGTCACCAGGCTCACATCTGTCCCGGGGAAGCTGCGGGCTGTCTGTGGCCGTCTTGCGTGGCTGTCTCTTATACACATCTAGATGTGTATAAGAGACAGCAAGCAGACCTGCCTGAAGACGGTGGTGCTGCTGGCTGACAAGAAGAAGAATGTGAGTGGTGCTGCCCCCTCCTTCTGGAGCCCAAGTCCCCCAACGGGGGCCCTTCTCAGCCCTGAGCAACCTCGGCCTTTCCCGCAGGTGGTCGTCTTCAAGTCTGATGGCAGCGTGCTGCTCAACGAGCTGCAGGTGAACCTGCCCCACGTGACCGGTGAGTTGTGCCCCAGGGAGGGGCCCAGGCCCTTCAAGCTCCGCTGGGCCTGCAGTGATTCCGACAGGCCAGCCGTCTCAGACCCGGGAGGCTGGGTGGAAAGGTTCCATGGGAGGAGGGTCCCTGCAGCACCCGGCAGGCTCTCTCCTGGGTCCTCTGCTGGAGGGGGCGGTGGGAGGGTGACATCCTCCTACTGCTCACCTGGGCCAGGCAGGCCCTGGGAGCCCCGCCCCTCGCTGTGCCCCTTACCGTGTCCCTCATCGTGCCCCTCTGCCTGCAGCGAGCTTCTCCGTCTTCCGCCCGTCTTCCTACCACATCATCGTGAGCACGGCCAGCGGCCTCCGGCTGCAGGTGCAGCTGGCCCCAGTCATGCAACTCTTCCTGACGCTGGACCAGGCCTCCCAGGGGCAGGTGCAGGGTAAGTGGCCCCACCGGGATTGCCCCAACAAAGGCCCACAGGGGGGCCTGCTAGCCCCAGACCCTTCCCAACCCTGTCCTGGCCCCTCAGGCCTCTGTGGGAACTTCAACGGCCTGGAAGGTGATGACTTCAAGACGGCCAGTGGGCTGGTGGAGGCCACGGGGGCCGGCTTTGCCAACACCTGGAAGGCACAGTCAAGCTGCCATGACAAGCTAGACTGGCTGGACGATCCCTGCTCCCTGAACATCGAGAGTGGTGAGGCTCGGCAACACGGGCGCCCCCACCCAGCCTGCCTGGGGAACCCGGCCCATGGCCTGGAAGGGCAGATGGGGCTCCCAGCAGGACACGTGGGTGGTGAGGGGCAGAAGTTAGGTGGCTCTCCTCCAGGGGCAGCCCAGCACCAGCTGCTTCCTGCTGTGGCTAGTTTATGGCGGCCATGGTGGCAGCCTGCCAGGTGACCCGGAAGAGGGCCTGGGCTGGTCCCTACCTGCCCCATCACATCCGGGATGCTGGGCCCTTGGGGGTGAGAGACGGGAGGTGGTGGGTGCCCTGCCCGGGTCTCTATCCAGCCTGGAGCTGCCTGGAAATTTGACTCAGGGGGAGGAAGGGGCCTGGGCATGGGTGCACAGAAGGAACCATATCTGGGGCCAAGGCAGCCGGGCAGCAGGGCCCAGGGGATCTCATGGGGGTCCCAGGCCCCGCTGAAGTTCTGATCCCCCACTCCCCAGCCAACTACGCCGAGCACTGGTGCTCCCTCCTGAAGAAGACAGAGACCCCCTTTGGCAGGTGCCACTCGGTCGTGGACCCCGCTGAGTATTACAAGGTGGGTGGGACCCACACCCCCAGGCCCCCGTGCCATCGAGGTGGACTCAGGGCACTCCCAGGCCCCCATGCCACCTGTGAGGTGGACTCAGGGCACCCGGCCGGGCCCACTGGTTGCTGTGTGTGTGTGTGAGCTTGCGTCTGTGAGCGCCGGGCCATGCTCGGCCTCACTGCCTCACTGCCCGCCCACCTTGTTCTGTCGCCCAGAGGTGCAAATATGACACGTGCAACTGCCAGAACAACGAGGACTGCCTGTGCGCCGCCCTGTCCTCCTACGCGCGCGCCTGTGCTGCCAAGGGGGTCATGCTGTGGGGCTGGCGGGACCGTGTCTGCAGTGAGTGCCGTCCCTGTCGGCTGCCTCCTGGGGATGGGGTCCAGGCTTTGAGCTCCTGGGACGGGGCTGGGGGCCCTGAGCATGGGTGGTCCAGGGAGAGGAGTCGTCCCCCTGCAGCCACGGACCAGGCTCCAGCTTCATCGGCCAGTGGTAGCGGGAAACCAGCTCCTCCTACAGCAAGGGGCGGTCACATAGCAGGGGTGGAACCTGGGGCCGGCCTGGAGCTGTGGCGGCCGAGTGTGGAAGTGGGTCCCAGAGTGTGCACTCCCTGGTCCCCTGGCCGCCCTGGGGATGGGAGCTGGGCGTCTGGCTCCTCCCGCCCCTCACGCCACCCCATGGTCCTCTGCAGACAAGGATGTGGGCTCCTGCCCCAACTCGCAGGTCTTCCTGTACAACCTGACCACCTGCCAGCAGACCTGCCGCTCCCTCTCTGAGGCCAACAGCCACTGTCTTGAGGGCTTTGCGCCTGTGGACGGCTGCGGCTGCCCTGACCACACCTTCCTGGACGAGAAGGGCCGCTGCGTGCCCCTGGCCAAGTGCTCTTGCTACTACCGCGGCCTCTACCTGGAGGCAGGGGATGTGGTCGTCAGGCAGGAAGAACGATGGTGGGTACCTGCTCGGGTGTCAGGTGTGGCGTGGGGGTGGGGGAGCTCCTTCTGAACCTGCCCCAAGCGGAGACCTGGGAGACTCTACCTGGGGAAGCTGAGACACCCAAGACTGAGGGGTGCCTGGGGTGGGGGGCGCTGACAGTCACCAGGCTCACATCTGTCCCGGGGAAGCTGCGGGCTGTCTGTGGCCGTCTTGCGTGGTCCCCACTCATCCCCGGCCTTTTCCACAGTGTGTGCCGGGACGGGAGGCTGCACTGTAGGCAGATCCATCTGATTGGCCAGAGTAAGTGGCACTGCCCCGGCCACCCCTCCCCGCCTGCCCTGGCCACTGTCCCCAGCCACCTCTCCCCGCCTGCCCTGGCCACTCTCCCCAGTCACCCCTCCCCGCCTGCCCTGGCCACTCTCCCCAGCCATCCCTCCCTGCCTGCCCTGGCCACTCTCCCCAGCCATCCCTCCCTGCCTGCCCTGGCCACTCTCCCCAG